AGGCTGCTGCTGTGGGAGCTCTGTGTCCTTCCTTCCTTCCTTCCTTCCTTCCTGCTGGGTGTGTGCTCCGGTCGGTGCTGTGAGGCGGCCTGGTACGCCGGTGTGGGCGCTTCGCGGGCTTTCCTTCACCTTCTGTCGGTAGCGGTGCCTGGTGAAGTCTCCTTGGTCCGTGCAGCTCTGGACGCGCCGCGATGGATGCACGCTGTGGTGCGGTGGCAGAGCCGCGTAGGCAGTCTGCAGGCTGCTGGAGAGGCGAGCTCCACTCTTTGCATCGGTGCTTGCGAGCCGAGCTGGGAAATGTTTGAAATCCTCTTTTGCGTACAACGCTCTTTGCAAGTTCATGCTTTGGCACTGTGCATGCTAAAATTGGAACAAGGGGGAAGACCAGCACAGCCCTTGTGTAAGGATGACAATCGGATTCTGTGAGTTTTGTCTAGGGAATTCCGTGCAAGCTGCTCCCTAACTCCAGAAGTTGTTGCTACGTCACTTCAGGCATTGAATAAAACGCCTGAGCTCCAAGTATGAACTGTAATACTAGTTCTCATCTTACAACAGTGACAAATGTTTCTACCCATCTGTTTCATGATACTATGTCAGAATAAGGAATAGAAACAAAGAGACAATTATCTACTGGTTTGTTTAACGCAATGACAGTATCAATATGAGAAAGCAAATTCAGTATTAGAATTTAAATCCTTATTCTTACTGTAATTGTGTTTTAATATTTTTTGCACTGAAGAAGTATAAAAATAAGCAGTGATGTCAATACAAACCCAGAAGCAACAGTGTGTTTCCTGCTACAAAAGACTTAAGAAATCAAATAAACTAATACTGTTTTCCACATTTTGTATTGCTTCATGCTATATTATTTGCTTTTTTTATCCCCCAGAGAATTTTGATTAAAAATTTTGTGATTCATCTGCCAAAGTCCTTTCTCTATAGAGAAATTTGAAGTCTATCTTTACAATGATTTCCTTAAGATGATGGAGTTTCCTGTGTCCCTTCCTCCCTAGTTTCAATCACTTCAATACAAGCTGCTGCTGTTGCTAAAGGTCCAGCGCACTAGCCCAGTTTGCTGTGCAGCTAGATGAAGCTTATGCTGGCACAAGGGGAAGAAGGCATGAGTGGGACATGGTGCCTAGAGGATCTTAAAAATCTGTTACTATAACTTCATAATATAAAAAAGGAAGAAGAGAGCTTTACTTGCCTTAAAAAGACCACCTTGATAATCTAATTGGATCTTTGTAAAGCAGCCTCTGAATAATCATACTGACTTCCTTCCACAAGTGAAAAATAAATACTATTTTGAAAAAGCTACCTTTTTTAGAAAATACAACGTGGGAATTAAAAGAGTATTAAATATGTAGTGATAGCTGGGATGTGGATTTTACTTAAGTCCTGTAGTGTAGATAGCAGAGGTAAAATTTGGTGATTTGTCATTTACTTCAATTAATTCTGGATTTCCTTCCCTACCGCTTTGGCCAGCAGTTAAGTGAAGCTGAATTATCCGAATGCTCCAGTCCTGACTTGGAAGCCCAACAGAACAGACAGAAGATAGTAACAGTAAAACCCACCTGTTCAGTCAATGTGTGGTCCTCTTTCAGTTTTGTGGACATTTTAACAGAGATCTTCACAACTTAAAGATCAATTGATCTTAAATTTATTATTTAGAAATACTCTGAAGTAAATTAAGTGTATTTAATTGCTAAAAACAAATGTTGTTCTTGAGACAAAGCAGTGGAAGATTATGAAGACCCTTTCCTGAGTCACTGGGACAATGAGAGGCAGGAGCACTGTGCAGAGCGTGTGTGTTGGTGGCACTGAGACATGTAGTTTCTCCCAGGTAGGAATCATTTTCCTTTTGGAATGACTTTGTGTGTGTTTTATTCCAGCTAACTAAACAGCTAACTTGGATGACTTTCTAAGACTTTTTTTATCTTGCCAGGTGTTATTTAGTAGATAGAGATTATAATTCTTGAAAACTAGTACAAATATTTTTATGTTAAGGATTAGGAGATTTCTACCCTTTTAAGTAGAAAAAGTGTACTTTCATAAAACTGCATTTCCCATAGTGCACAAGGGCTTTCTAGGATGGGTCAGCTGATCTAGATTGTGAAATGTTCCTTATTTCCTGTCCAACATGCATGGAAATGACTGGTGTGTACGAATGTCTCATCTTTCCTTCGTCAGGTGATTTAAAGGCTGTGGACCGGAATTCTGATTTAGAACAATGGCAAGAAACTGAGCTGATTAACTAGCTTGATATGTGGAAAACTGCTTTGTTTAGAGGAAACTGGTGTCATGAAGAAGTAACATACTGCAGTCTGCTCTGTTAACTTCATGGGAAAAGGTAGAGAGAATCTTGGTCTTTAATTTTTGTACCAGACTTTTCTTTGTGGGTTTGGGTTTGGTTGTTTGTTGGGTTTTTTTTTTTGAGTTGCTGATTTTGCTGTACGTTTTTTAAAAGAGTTACCAAATTTCTTGATTAGTTGGTGGTTATGTCCTAGCAGCTAATAAGTAGCCCTAAGTAATTGGAATTTTTGAAGCTTTCTTTTTGCTTGTTTGTTTTTAACATAGGTTAAGAGGAAACCTTTAAAAGAAAATAGAATTTTTCCAGACTGAAGCTGAGGACTTGGCAAGAAAACACAAAATGTCTCCTGAATCAAAAAAACTTTTCAACATAATTATTTTGGGAATCTCATTTATGTTTATATTCACTGCTTTCCAAACATGTGGAAATATTGCGGTAGGTGTGAATTTTAAAACATGCCACATTTCTATCACAGTTATTCATCCTTTCTTGTCTCTTGTGTACTCTAATGTAAGAGTTTCTTTATTTGGGATTTTTTATGTGCAAGACACCTTGATATTTTGTCTCCTTTCTTTTGGTTTAGTGTTAACTAGATTAAGTTGGTTAACTGCATAATTAAGCAGTTTATTTCTTTAAGATACTGTAGCTGCATATGTAACTGTGCCTGATTGCTTAGGAAGTAGAAAATTAATTTTATCAAATGTTTGAACTTTAAAATAGTGTCTGTTTTGACACTTGCAATATTTAACAGTTGAATTGCATTGGGCCTTCCATATTTCTGCTTATTCTATGTAGTTCCTTTCAAAATATTTGCCTAAGTTGTTAGTATTAACTGTGCCCCTAGTTTTCCCTTGAGCGTTTTTCCTAATCTAACATATTTTTCTGTTCTAACAAACTAGACATTGAGGGGGAGTGTGAGGATAACATCTGACAAGTAGTCAGACTTCCACAATTTCTGGAACTGCCAAGTCACCTTCCATCTGAATAAGTAATTTACTGCTTTAGTATCATGTATCTCTGTGTTGCTGAAGCAAAATTGAGCATAAGATAATCCAAATTTACTATTAAAAGCAGATTGCACTCTTACTACTTAAATTTTTAGAATCCTGCTACTGACATACTTAGCCCAGATCCTCTAAAGTACTGAGCTGTTGACATTGCTTTCAGTATTAGTTATATGCCTGAAGGACAGTTAGATTTCAACATACCTCTTGCGCCTACAGGTCTTACAACTTCTCTTTTCTTGCATGCAAGAAGAATCCTTTCTGGGTTCAGACATACGAATGGCCTTCACTGCATTATAGAAATAACTACCTGGAATAGTTTTTGTAAAAGTCATAGCACAGTGTGATACTGTACGTGCGTACATAAGTACAGCCCAGTGATCTTGGAAGTTCTGCAATCCTGTGATCTTAGAAGTTCTGCAGTGAGTTCACAGCACTTCACTGAATTGGACCCAGTGATCATGCAATCATGTAATTTATTGTCATTAAAGTAATTGCAAGTGTCTTTCGGATCTGCCCACCAATCCAATTAATTACATGGTCTCATGATGACTAAAGCTGATTCAAGGGGGAAAAAAAGGAACAGGGAAATAACGGGAAGCCGAAAAGAACGGAAACTCTTATCAGAAGCTCATAGTTAGGTCAAATTAAGAGTATTTTGAAACTTCTCAATTTGTTCACACTTTTTAGATTAAGATAGTGATAGATATCTACCTAAAAGAGGTGTTTAGTGAAACAGAAGTTTTGCGAAATATTTTAAGGTCTCTGATGAAATCATGTTCTAATCCTAAAGTACTAATTACTGCTTCAAACATACATGTTTCGCTGCCAAATATCTCCCTCACCTTCATTGTGTGGAGGTGTTGTGAGTTGTAATTAACACTTTAAATTATTTTAAGTACTTTGTAGAGTCTATTAACAATTAATTCTAACGTTTGATACTGACTTCAAACTGATGCAAGTGTTCTCAGACTACAAGGTATATTCTAACAGATTACAATGTATGATTTTCTCCTCACAGCAAACAGTTATCACAAACTTAAACAACACAGATTTTCATGGTAGTGGCTACACAAGGTAAGTTACACAGATCTTATTACTTTGTTCCTTGCAGGGTGAAGCTACTTATAATTCTGTCTGGTAGAGATATACTCTCAAGAGATTGTAATGTTCTGCTGACTTCACAATCTAATAACCCACTTAGAGCAGTTTAAAGCATAGGCTTCTCACAGTCACTCTAGTTCTACTCTGAATTATTTCTAGTTGGACTACATATTTGCATGTTTTCTTTGTAGGGAGAAGAAACACTCTACGGTCATTACATTCTCAGCATTTTATTTTAGGAGATGAAGAACAAGGAGATTTTAAAATAAACAAAACTGCTAACTAAGGGCTTCGTTGTTTGCCCTTGTACACCTCTGTGTGTTTGTGTAGGATAGGTGGTGTGGATCAACTTCCAGGAAATACTGCAACATAAATGTGAAAGGAGCAGTCAGAAAGACAAAAACAAAGCCATGAAAAGCCATTCTGTTTGCTTATTGCACTGGCATAGCCAAACTCGCCAAGCATGATCAGGGACCTTCTGTATGCCAAATTAATCTGTCGTATAGGAAAACCCGGTTGCTGCTTTGAAGGGTTTACTGTCTTAATTTAAACTAAAAATGCAACTGGCACAAAATATATTTATAAAATCTCTGTGGTGCAATTGGCAGAAAATTAAAACCTCGGTGATAGATGAATGAGGCTCTGGAACATTCTCCTCTAGAAGTACTGGGCACAAAATACAGTAACTGTCGTTAAGGCACAGTTTGACAAATGTGTGTCGTAAATTACAAGACGTACTTGTCTGCAATAATTTGGGACTCTATTCAGCTATCCAAGAAACACTGTAGACTCCTATATTCCCATATAGAGTGCGATGGGTGAAGGTAACAGAAGAAAGGAAGGAAGTGTTTGACCGTGAGAGTTACAGTTACCTAAGTTACGTGTGTACTTAACTTGATATGTTGGAATTGACTGAACATTCTTAAATCGGTTGTATTTACACCCTATATTTTATTTTAAGGACTAAATCATCTTTGTTTTTTATTTATGTAGCATGTCCATTATTTATGGAGTATTCTCTGCATCAAATCTTATATCACCTTCAGTGGTTGCAATAGTAGGACCTCAACTCTCCATGGTTGTTAGTGGCATATTTTATAGGTAAGTATTAATTTTGAATTTTTGTCTGCTTCCTTTGAAATCAATCTTTTGTTTTTTCACACCTAAGCCTACCATGCCATACATGAAATCGTACTGGCTAAGGAAGGCATCTTGCAGCGATACTGTCTGTATCAGTAGATGTGTAACTGCAGAGTACTTCAGCCTACTGGAAACAGAGTGTATTTTTTCCACAGCATTTCCAGACTTTGCTGACTGTGGAGTTCAGGTTGTGGTCTCAGATTAATGAATATATATTAAAAAAAAATTCTATATGCTTAGTGGAGTAAAAAGATTACCTTTTTTCACATGCAACCTAAACTATTTTCCAATGTCGCTTAGAAGAGAGTAACTGATTTAGAAGTAACTAAGTGAGATATCTGATTGTTAAAGAGCAGTGTGCACTTTAAGTCTATATTCAATAAACTGATCTGTTCTATTCTAGCCTATACATTGCAGTTTTTATCCAACCTGCTACATGGGCTTTCTATACTGCTTCTGTTTTTATTGGCATTGCAGCTGCTGGTAAGCATTTTTCTTACCCTGCTTACTATTCTTTGCTATATTTGAATATACCTCTAAAATATTTTTATTTCCTGAGCAATATATTCTGTACATTTCAGTACTCTGGACAGCACAGGGAAATTGCTTGACTGTAAATTCTGATGAAAACACCATTGGAAGGAACAGTGGGGTATTTTGGGCACTCTTACAGTCCAGGTAAGCTTTATTTGTTAATCTTATTTTGGTTGTGCACACATTCTACTTTTTACATTTTTTGATAAGTGGGAGACTGCATCAAAAAATACTGCACTGGTACCTTGTAGTCAGTGAAGTGGGAGGGAGAGCTGGAAGTAACATTTCTGTTGCTATTGTGCGTTATAGAACAATGAATGAAAGTTATATATTGCAAACCTTTGCTCTTGACTTGCTAAAAAGATATGTTTCTGTTAGGGGAGCGTTTGACCTAGGTCACAGAAATCTTGTTGGTTGTGGAGGGCTGTGCTAATTTGTGTCAGGATCCTGAGTGCACTAATAAGCCCTAATGGTCCTGAACAACCTCACCTGCCACCTCCACCGCACCCTTCCCATCTGCCCATGGGCCTAGGAGCTCCATTTAAACTCAGCCCTGGGACTCTGGTTCTTCTGGAGCTGTGTTGGAGGGGTACTGGTCTTCAGCTCAGCCACAGCTACGCCTCCTGCCTCACTATGGATCCTGGTGGTCTAGAACCTGGTCCACAGGCTGATTTCCCATCTTGGCTTTGTTCTGCCTTGTCACTGTGGACCTGCATGGCAATCACTGATCCTGACTCTGGCATGTGGGCTGACTTCACAGCTTGACCTCAGACCTGCCTCATCAGCACAAACTTGTATGATGGGCTGGACTCTTCGTTGACTTTACCTACAATCTTTGAGTCTGCCCTGCTTACCTTGCTCGAGTGCTGCAGGGCTGGGCTCTAGCTGACGAGGCATGTTCTCTTCTGGATGTGTTATTGCCCTTGACTCTTAGCCCTCCTTCCTGAGGGAGCAGTTGGACTTTGCTGCTCACTGACAAGTTAAAGTGAAGATACTAAAGTTGAACCTGGCAGTCAGAAGTCAGAAAAGAAATATTGTTGTTGATAGAGAACAAGTTAGTGGATGCTGTGTTGCTGCCATTGAGTATTTTGTGCAGATGTGGTTTATGTCTCAAGAGAGAGTGTAATGTAATTAGGGTATAGGGAAAAATAACAAAAATCTGTAAGAAGATAGAACTAATCACTTGAAGAGAGACTAAAAAGTCTGGGACTCTTTCCTTTGGAGAAAAAGTGTCTGAGGAGGATTATACTGATGAGTTACTAAAACACAAAGGCAGTGGTTGAGCTGAATGTAGAACTGTTGCTCACCAAATGCTGCTGTAGTAGAACTCAGGTTACTTGGTGAAACTAGAAGAGGATTGGTTTGAAACAGATAAAGTGCTTCTTTACACAATGAGCGATTAAACTTTTGGAGCTTGCTGCCACAAGAGGGTGTAGAGCTGTGTGGTGTCAGCAAGAGCGAAAAGGGATCAAACAAATTCATTGCCAACAGGTCCACAAATGGTTCCTGAAGAGAGGTACGTTTTACCACCCCTAATACAGCAGTTCTGGATATTGGGAGATAATGAGGAGAATGAATTGCAGGAAGTGCTTAGGCTGATGAGCCTGCACTAAATGGCATTGCTAACGCTGTTGTGGGAACAGAATCCTGGATTAGTAGAACATCAGTCTGAACCAGTGGCATACTTCTTGTGTTCCTTAAGTTTCAGGTTCCAGAATTAACCTATCAGTATGTTATCAGAGTAGCAATTTCCACAAGCCCAACTAATCTTGTGTTTTACAGTGAGTAAAATGCATGGCTTTATATGAGGAAACTTGACTCTAAGGCTTTTTTGACTCGCTATTTGTTCAGAATTACTATATTTCAGGAAAGTATAGATAGGAACACAGAATTTCCCTTGAGCTGTTAACGACCAATTTAGTATTGCTGGGGCAATATTTCAGACAAGAGGCATGACTCTTCTAAGGAAGTATTTCAAAATCATCTCCATAAATATCTCTGCTTTCTAACCTATATCTTTCCAAAATCAGAGAAAGAGGCAAATTAACTGCAGGCTTCCTCATTTTTGCTACCACCTTGTGTCTTAATTGCTGAAAATGAATAGCCAGCATTATGGGGAAAAATCCTCTACTGTGTTTGAAGTTTTATATAGAGTAAGTAGTTTGCATGGAGAGTGACTAGCGTCTTTCACAATTGCACAGTACTGTTTTTTGCATACAATAGTATTACCGTGATGCTATAACCTTAATCTTACCTCAAAAAGTGCTATTCACCTTTACTGTCCTTTTTGTTTACAGCTTGTTTTTTGGAAACCTCTATATATACTTTGCTTGGCAAGGAAAAACTCACATATCAGGTGGGTATTGCTTGTTTATATGGGAGGTGATCCTTTAAAATATGGTATCATGAATAAACAGATGAAATAATGAACTGGAAAGTGGCAAGAAACGTATACAATAGCAGACTTTTTTTTCCAACTTATTGTTAGACAGGCTCTGTTTTTGGAGTGTGTTTTTTGATTCAGTGTTCCATGGTACTCACGGCCCTTCTATCATGTATGTTTTTCTGCATTCAATGCACTTTGAATACCTTCTTTTACAATGTAGTCTATGAAATTCTTCAGAATGCTAGTTTAGAATAAGGTTTTCCACAATAGCTCCTCTGGGATTTTCTCTGTGCAGGCATGCTTATGCCAAAATATGCATATTTTGGGGGAAAGCTATTCTGGAATGGCTATACGTTTAATATACACGCTGTTCTGTTCCAAAGCAAGTTCCTGGTGTAGACTGTCCTTCTAAATCAGACTGGAGACTGATTAACCTGTGAAATAAAGGAAAACCATCCCAGTTCGCGTTATGGCTGCAGTAATTGTTGTGCTGGCACAAAGCAGTAGCAAGACAGAGGTTGAGATGTGCAGCTGGACTGAGAGTGGGTGGCTGCTGCTTAAACTGGCAGTACTGCTGGAAGAGTGTGTGAAGAACTCAGTCTTCCTTTCTTGGTGTAGTTTATGAAGACTAACTTCCTAATGGGTTTGTAATTAAAACTAGAGGGTTTTTTTTATTTGACATCATGCTCAACTGGTAAAGAGCAGGAGAGAGAACAGTAAACATAATAATATTGTTAAGAAGTTGGATAGTGGTTGAGACTCATTGGTTTTAAAGCAGAGATTTTTACTTAAGTAAGCAAGGCAAGGTGTGGGGGGTATCAGCTAAGAAAATAGCAATGGTGAAAATAGAGCAAAACATAAGATTTTAATTATAAAACCCAAGTATTGCTGGAAAACCAACACTTTGTGAATAAATAGGGTCGATTGTCCTGTTCTGTAAGGGCTGTGAAAGTTTTCTTTATTGTAGTGTTAAAGTAAAATATCTAGTAGAATGGTCAAATCTTTTAACATTTAAAAGATGAGGATACTGCTGCTGTTATCAATCAGGAATAAGTTGTTGATTTTCAAATGATAATTATCAGGTTTCAGAAATACTGCCGAGTTGAGAAGAATAGTCCACTTCATGTCTCTGTTAGATCTGTCTTTTCAGGTTCCCCACAGACACAGGCTTGGTAGCACAGCACAGGTTAATTTTTAAAGGTCAGCTCCCACATTCCCTCATCTTTAACACAAAGTCTTAAATGTTATTGAAAGTATTGGAGACACTTTGGATCTGGAGGGCCTGAAATTCTGTGCCTTCTAAATTTCATTGCTCTTTCTAACCACAGAATAGAGCAATTAACTATGAGGGAGTTCTGCTGTTACATTTCCTCCCATCTTTAAATGTCTTGAGACTCCTCTTTAGTAAAAAATGTTGATATCAGAAGACCTGACAGTGTTCAAAAATCAATTCCTGCTTCCTTTCATTACCTAAATGAAAATTTTACAGGCATTCCAAGGTGAAGTACATATTTTCTTTTTGATCTGTAATCATACATGTTATTTTTAGTTGATGTAGAACAATTTTATGTTTACTTTTAAGCTAAAGGGGAAGTAAATACGAATATAGGCAATATCTTCAGAAGCATACACTATGTTCAATCACAACTATTAGCTGTTTCTTGTTTATTTTTCCTGCTTAATATTTGTAAATGGGAATGACTTCTGTATTACAGACTTTCCTATGCCAAACAAGTTGTTTAGTGCAGCAGAGCTTGTGCATAGGGTAGCACTTACCTTCCTCCAGCTGCACGTTGTATGCTGTGTCAGTTAGGTTTCAGTGGTTTTAAGGCGTTTGTAGTTTACAAGCCTACCAGTTTATGATGTTACAGTGCTAATATTTCTGATGCTGATAAAGAGATTTTTCTAGAAATCTGAAGGGTTTTGGGGTACTTCGCTATGTCCACTCTGTATTATATAAGTCTTGAAAGATGTAGTTTCTTCTGCTAATAATTTATGCACTTCCTTTGTTAATTGGCTCCTCCTTGGTCATAGCCTTTGCATGGCAGAAAATGCGAGTGACACTCTTTAATATGCTGATATTTTATTAGCATCATAAAAGTGAGACAGGAATTTGCCAGCAGCTGGGTACCTTTTGCTCCATGTGGAAGGTAAGTTAGAAAATTAGTATGCATTTTAAACACTCTTACGTAGTATGACTGTATTAGTTCTTTGAAGGTAGTTGAATTGCATTGAATTGCTTTTGCACATCTAGTTATGACTTCTGTTTGTTTTTCCACAGAGAGCGATCGCAGAACTGTCTTCATTGCTCTGACTGTTATCAGTCTTGTGGGCACAGTTCTGTTCTTTCTGATTAGGAAACAAGAGGACACAAAAGCTCCAGGGGAGGAAGATTCTGCTAATGAAATCCTGGGGGACAGCTCGTAAGTGCTTATGGCAATAACATGTTGTCACATATACTCGTTTGTGCTCCTGCTCTCAATGGAACATTGTGCATTCACTTTCCCCTCTACACTGGAAACATGAATGTTATGAACAACCTATGGAATTTACAGATCTAAGAGAAAAGTGTCTGTACTTTAACAAGTGAGAATTAATATTTTTATATGACATTTTCAACGGTGGAGTGCAGTAATGCACATTAAGTTTTTACATTAATAAGTGCCTTTGGAAAGATACCTTTTACCCGTTTTCTCCACTGATTGTTATTAAACACGTATCTGCCTTTCATAATCTGTCTTGCCATCATCAGCCCAGTTTAAAGGCTGGAATATGGAGAAATTACTCCCTTTTTATAGGTTATATTTTACATACTGAAACATGGTTTTCATAGCTTCTCTAAATATATATATGCCACTCTGATAAATACATTAGAAATGCATAGGAACGCAGATAGATTCAGCACAGTTTTGCCTGAGGCATCAGTTTAAATAGTTTTACTTTATTTAAAGAACAATGAAAATGTTAGAAAAACATCAGTAAGTATGCCAGTGAGAAAATGTTCAAAGCTAAAAATGTTCAGAAGAAAGATTCTGTTAAGCAGGTTAATTTTTGAATGGCATTCACTAGTGCAGAAAGCAAATGAGTTTTGTGGTTAGTAGTTTAGATTCTCAGAAACTTTTAATAATATATTATCATATTCCAGTATATAGTGCTGAGCTAGAAAATATACAGAAAATGTGAAAAATTAAGGTGCCTTCCAGCATAGTGATACAGTGTGGTTATTCTTTTTCCATTTTGACTAAGTCATCTATTTACCCAGGTCTGCACAAAACAAAATGATGAGAGCAGTGGCTGCCTTCAGTAAGTACTGTTTCACATAAGAGTTGCTTCAAAAAATACTGACATATCCTTTCCAGCTGTCCATGATTCTGCTGATGATGTGATCATGTACAAATCACTTGGAACAAAAATTTGTGAACAAATAAGGTTTTAGGAATGCATTTCAGTTATTCCACTTCAATATAGACCTTCAGGGATGGCCTGCTTGGAAAAATGACTGCCAGATGGCAATGGTTTTCAGACCAGAGATGACAGTTCACACAGGGACACAGGACTGATGAGTTTTGAACCTAATAGGAATTCAGTTGTCTATGTAAGCATTCGTGCTTTTGAGCCTAGCCAAAATGGGGCTCAAACTGGAAAAGCTTGGGAACCACTGAAATAATGTGTGGGCAAATGACTGTTGGTCTGTGATTGGTGTGAGCTGGCTGGGTCTACACTTTAGAAGTGCTCCTTTCAGGTGATGATACTATATAAACAAAGCTTGACTGCAAGCATAGAAAGTAAAGTCTACTTCACTTCAATTACATGCTAGTATAGTCCAGGAGAAATTTGGAGGGGTGCTTTCTTGATGTAGTTTCAGATCCAAGTTACTTTATAACAGCTTCCTTATGTAGATGAGTTCAAAAAGAACAAGTCACCACTTGGGAAAGCTGGTGCATTAAAGTTTTGTTTTTTTTTTTTTAAAAAAAAATCACTAATATAACAGGATAAAGAAGTTCCATGTTGATTTATTTTGTTACCAAGCAATACCATTTAAAAACAACAGGTTTGAACTGTAGCATCTGCAATTTCCATTGAAGTTTGATGTGATTTGCCCATGACTGTTAAGTTTGTTTTGAGAACACGGAGATCTTCTTTGAGAATTTATTTATCTTTTTAGGAAACAATTGCTATGAACCGAGAGAGTACAAAAATAGAATGAGCAGAAAATTGTCTGCTACTTGAAAACTGTGTATCCCCTCTTTAATATTTCCCCCCTTGCATTTCTTACAAAAAAGGATTTCAGATAACAACATTTCTTTCAAAGGGCAAGTCAGAATTGGTTTGTTTAGCAGTCTGTTTTACTGTAATAAAGTCCGTTCGCGTAATTTTAACCTATTTTTGCAAAGAGCAAAAGAAAGTGTAGATTGTCTTAATAGTGTTATCAGTTATATTAATTTCCATTATTATGTCTTTGCAGAGAAATCTATAAAGCTGAGCTTCACCAAAGAGATTCTGCTGCTCAGTGTTACAACAGCCTACACAGGTATGAAGCGAGCAGAGTGTATAATTATGTAGCAGTGTCAGGATGTTGGTTGGAATTTTAACCCCAGAGCAGGATTGCAATTCCGTATCTCTGCAAATCTTACTTGAATATTTCAGTTAACTTTGGATGAGTTACTCAATTATGACATTTCTGTGTTCTGGAGAGTGTTTCTGTGTGGGAGGGGGGGTGTGCCTTAAGTCTGCAAATACTGACAGATGTAGTAATGCGTGGTTCAGTACAGTTTTGGGTCACCCAAATTGAGGGTTAGGCAAAATTTACATAGCTGTTTTTTATGTGATTTGACATTACACTCTTAATAGATTGTAGATTGTTTAATGTAATTGTATTGCATTTGAATTAGAATTCTTTTTGTTGAATACACTTTCAGCGTACCCTCCATTGAGGTGTGGGAGATTGCTGACAGTCTTCATTTTAATCTTGTTTCTATTGGGAAAAAGTTTATCCATTTTCAACCATCTTTATCACTAATATTTGCTGTAGCAAGAGCTCTCTTTCTTTTTAGCAACTTTAGTTAAACCCGATCTGCTGTTGTTGGACCAAGATATGAGTTATGAAATAAAAATACATTTATTTTTGCCATATACTAAAGTGATTCTTCCACAAAAATACTATAAAGTGTTCAAAATAATACTGGGATCCTTTAACAGATTTTTTTTGAGGGTTTCTAACTCCTAATTTGCCTTCAGATGTAGTTCTGTTCATGAAGTTTTAGGAAGAACAGATGCATTTTTCAGGACCTCTGCTCTGAGTCACCATTATTAAAAATTGTTTTTGTCTCTTGTAGGTGAAAAGAAAGACTTAGATGCGAACAAACTATAAACAGTGCTATTAGCATCCGCCAAAGTTTGCAGTCAGCTTCTGGTGGAGAAATAGCAATAGTAGCTATGAAGTCAGCTTGCACCAGCCACTAATCTGAGTTACAAGTTACTTCACAGCACCTCCAGTGTTGTGTTAACCCAAATTAACTAGCTTGATTTCCTCTTAGATGTTTAGTGCAATGGGAATGTGAAGCAAGATAACAAGGGAAGGGAGTCAGGTTTTGCCTGATTAATCTGAAACTTGGTTTTACAGGTAGCAGAAAAAAAAAATAATCGGTCCAAGTTGGAAAAAATAGCTACTGCCATCTGGTGGCTGTGGGTCAGTATTGCCACTTTATGTGGGAAAATACGAAATCGCAGGAGGCACACAAAAGCTTTTCTTTCCAGAATTGATGGTTGGATTATTAAGACTGCTCAAAGTTCACCCCTTTTTGAGGCTGTGCAGTTCATGCCATGTTAGGTAGCTTGCTGCGTGTAGACCAGGGTATGGTGTACCATATTTTTGCAGTAGCAGAAGGCAAGTTTTTGAACTGTTTTTATCTGTTTAGGCATAACACTTTGCATTGTTTTAAATGTACTTTCTGTTAAGGAACCGGTATATTTACACTAATGGTTGCTTATAGTCATGCTAGTTGGACTCAGCAATGTTATCTTTCTTCACAGTAGTGGCAGTAGAAAGAAAGAAGAGTTTTAAACAAATAACAGTTGTTCTTTCTCAGTTTTGGTTCATAATGTGTAGAAAAGCAGCAGTCCATTTTAGGCATCTTAACTCTTGGGTATTTGGGGAGTACAGGGAGTCTTTCTTAGGAATGCCATAACTTGGAGGGGTGGGGAAAAAACCTTACTTGTGAAATTCCAAAGTTCTTGAGAAGCAGAAATATAAACTATACGTAGAGATTGTATCAACAGAAGCAGTACTGAACCTAAGTGTATCTGATGCTAATTAGTGACATAGTGTTTTTTCTAACATAGTTTTTATAAACTGGCATAGAAGAATATCAAAATTAAATAGTTCAAAATTCCCTAATTGCTTCTATTATGCGTACTTCATTTAAATATATATATTTGAAAGGTATGTTAAGGAAAAACAGCCTTTAGACATAAAGAATTTTTTAATAACTTTCATAATATCTCATCTATCAGTTTTGTTTGGTTTCTTTCAAAGGTTTGGAATTAACGTTCTTTTCTGGAGTATATGGAACATGTATTGGTGCTGTGAATAGGTTTGGCAGTGAAGAGAAGAGCCTTATTGGTCTCTCTGGTATTTTTATTGGTGTTGGAGAAATTTTAGGTGAGTCTAAATTTACTGCCTTACAGACAAAGATGATGTAGTTACTCAAAATGGTTTTTTGTACTTAGCTGAATAGTGTCTTTCAAGCTTCCAGCAATGATTATGTAAACGAAAAAATGAAATATTAAAAATAAAGTTGTCACCTTAGTTCCTTATTGCACTGTGAATTTTACATTACGCTACGTAAAGTGAATGCGGACTAAGATGTGAAATACTGATGACTATGAATCCTAAGATTTTGCATTCTTTTTGGGTTAGTGCAAAGAGATAAGTAAGACTTTGAATGAGAGAAACACTAGGCTGCAATGTTATTAGGGAATTTTCAGCATTTTGATATTCTGTTTTTAAATAGTATTCTGTGTACATTTTTATTATTTCTTAAGTGATGTCGTAACTTTTAAATTTATTAAAAAAGTATTACACAGGATTTCTTTCTTTAAAAGAGTTAGCTTGTTAAATGAGATCTGATATTTGAATAAAACTGAATATAAGTAATGTTCATTAAGTAAATTTTTGTTGCTTAAACTCAAGTAGTGCAGTATTTAAAAAGAAAAAAAAAACCCAAAAAAACAACAAAACCCCAAACCACTGTATTTGTTCACTAGCAACTTGGATCCGTAGATTTTTGCAATTAGAGCTAAGCACGAGGCCATCCATTTGCACTCAATGCTTTTGCAATACTGGAGGAAGTAGTGGCTGCTAGGAAAATACTTGCGAAAAGGTTGAGTGTCTTCATCAGCAATCATCTGATAAATCTACTGCCCACATTTCCCAGACATCTCTAGGATCCCAAAGGTTGCGTCATCTGGCAGATGAGGCTGGCAGATCTGACAAACTCCTTGGGACTGTTTTCATGTCTGTCAGTCTTTCAGTTATCCAATATGGGGAAGTTTATAATCTTAAGTTTTCAGCTTTTTTTTTTTTGCAGTATTTTAAGTTTGGTTCTGTTCTTTACATCTTCAGTTCTGATTTAATTATCCAATCTTTTCCGCTCATACAGGTGGAGGAATCTTTGGTTTACTGAGCAAGAATAATCGCTTTGGCAGGAACCCTGTTGTGATGCTAGGCATCATTGTCCATTTCATAGCCTTTTATTTAATTTTTTTCAACATGCCAAATGGTGCCCCTATTGCTCCTATGGGAGGAACAGATGACATTGCTTATATGATTCCAAGGTATGTAAACTTTTTCCTTTGGCTGGTATAACTCAAGGTGTATATAAAGAGCTTGTTCCTGTAATAGAAAACTCCATGAAGCTGCTTTGCTATGTAGTGGCTAACTCCATAGAAAAGACTCTCAGGAATTCTGTTTTTATTAAAGGTAGGTATTCCACCAGCGGGCACCCAATTTAGGAATTTAAATGGCATAAGAATAAAAAGCATGAGGATATTTGGTAGCAGTTCTGTTGTTGAGAACTAACATTTCTGACATCTAGTAGAATAGTGAGATGAGCAACTATTGTATTGGATGTCAGGAATTCAATTTATTTTAAAATAGTGTTGAGCTCAGTTTTACTACAGCGTGGAGCGCCAGCCTTGTGCTGTTGCACTGGTTTCCGAAGTCTTTGAATGCTTGTTGTCAAAGTCCACTTGGTCTAACTGGAGCCATGCTATGCCTATCTCTTACACCACTTAGTGTTAGGGGAAGAATATAGGGAGCTTTCTTATCTCATCATTACAACTTTCTTTTGGGGTATATTTTTGCCAATTTTGTGTGAAAACACAGTGTTGTCAGTTTGCACAGACAGAGCTGCTAACTTGTAATTATAAGCACTTGTGCCTGGGCTGGTAACTAGTCTTTATTTAACTGGAGTATTCTTCTGCAAAATTAATTGGTGTTCCTCTAATATTCCTGTGGTTATTATGAACTCACCACGTGTGTCTTGGCTTTCAGTCACTGCCTTGTGGGTTTTGTGGCTCCAAGCACCAAAATGAGTTGTTCTAGCACTTCTAATTCAGTGTAGAATTGACTGCAGGTAACAGTAACAGAAGTCTCAGCATTCAAGAAATTAAAATCTGATGAAACTATTCTTTTTGCCAAGTGTTCTCAGTTCTTCTCCAGTGAAATTTAAAGTTTGATAACTTTCTTCCGTTCTCAGTTTCCAAATAAGTCTGCCAAAAATAGTTTATAGATGTGTAAGCTGTTTGAATGAATGGCTTTTAAATTTGATTCACTTTCTCCTTCAGCAAAGAGGTGGCCATATTCTGCAGCTTTTTGTTGGGCCTGGGAGACAGCTGTTTTAACACCCAGCTCCTCAGTATTTTAGGATTCCTGTATTCAGAAGACAGTGCTCCTGCCTTTGCCATCTTTAAGTTTGTTCAGGTATTGTATGACATAACCTTTTTGAAAGTATGACTGTTGGAATGTTGTTGAAATACTGGGCTGGGTTTTTTAATGAGCTGAGAAAAACTATGTTGTTTCTGCAAAGGATTTCAGCCTGATTTTTTTTTTTTAATCTTTCACGGGAAAGAAAAATGTTTTCAGGTAGAAGTAGCTTGATTGTGTAGCTTGGTGTGATTAAATAATCGAACTGCTATTACTTACAAGTTTTGACGGAAGCTAGAAGGGTTGGGAATTGTAGTTTAAAGTCAAAAGGCTACTACGGTTAGCCAAACTTGGATTTTATGAATAATCATTTACTGAATTTATTTACTCAAAGAAGTCTTTGAGAGAGGCGTGTGAGTTGAAAGGAAAAAAGTTGTGTAAATAGTAGTTGAAGAGGTTGTGGATGTTGGACCATGTCGCTGGGAGTTATCAGGTGAGTATGCAGGCAAAAGAAGAATTAAGTAATGTTTAGCTGTCCTTAAGTTGTCAGAATGCCAAAATAAATGGATCTATGTTAAGTGGAGATTCAATTAAAAAGTCTTCATACAATATGAATACAACTGCTGTATTTTGGATAGATCACTTCACTCACCGATATTGATCTTGATTGGTACTGAACTTTCCAAGTCAAGATCCAGGTTGATCAGAGATATCTGTAGAAAAACGGTGGTGCAAAGCATTGAAACCGTTCATGCGTGGTCCCACCACTAGCAAGCCAGTGCTGGGAGCAGAGGTCAGGGTGTGTCTAGTTTAAAAGATGACAGCTGCTTTCTTCAAAAAGAGATTCTTTTTTTTTCCTTGTGCGCAGCTCCATTTTTATATCGTTCTCAGTGATATGTAAGAATTTGGGATTGAGATAGATACAGAATATAAAGATTCTTTATATGAGCTGTAATGAAAATTTTACCTTTAAAAAGGATAGATTGCAAGTAAGCAACACTGCTTGTCAAAGCCTCTAGCTATTTTGATATAGAATAGTTTCTGATGCTGTAGAGCTGGAAATAGTTTTCTGGATTTTGTCTTAAAGCCTTGGCACTGTCATTTCTAGACAAACTGTTTTCAAATACCAGAGAACTGCACTTGCGATGCTACAAACACTTGAGTTTTGTGTTTGCTTTCTGCTGTGAACACTCTTCAAATAAAAAGTAAAAACTACATCTGTTGTATATCGTATTAAGACATATGTTGAGGTGTAATGAAGTTTTAAGATTATATATCTTCTACAGAAGCAGACTACTGAGAGTTGCGTAGCAAGCTGTGTGTATGTCAGTTTGATGATCCTTATTTAGTAATACTAGCCTGGATATCTCCACTGATAATCTTTTTACATTGTGTTTTTTCTCTCAGTCCATCTGTGCTGCAGTTGCATATTTCTACAGCAACTACTTCCTTCTGCAGTGGCAACTCCTGATCATGGTGGTTGTGGGCTTCTTTGGAACGATTACCTTCTTTACAGTGGAGTGGGAAGCAGCAGCAGCTCTTGTTGCCCGTGGCTCAGACTACAGAAGCATTTGATGTAGATACCATGCCTAGTCCAACATAAGGAAAAACATGGGCGTATTTATTGTGAATTGATGCAAGAAGGTGAAAAGATCAAGTTGCTGCAGAAGTTAAGATGGAGGAAGCTACTACTAAATCACCATCAGTTTAACTGAATGTGAAACATAGGAAGAAAAAAATACCAAATCTGAAAGACTTTGTTCTTGCTTTAATCAACTGAGCATGGTATGCATGTTGTTAAAAATCCGGTATTAGAAATGGAAGGAAATGTAGAAATGCAGGTATTGAACAAGTCTGTTCTGAGGCGTACCTTTCAGAATGTAATTGCCTAATTTCACTCTACCATGCACTGCAGAATGACAGTTTCGTTTTTTCCCCCTAAATTATTTTTCCTATATCCTAGTTCTGCAGACACTTGAATTCTTGTATTGAATGAGTGATATTTTTATAAGGTACCTGATATCGCAGAATATGTCTGCACAACTGAGAAATCAATTTGTCATTGACTTTTTCAACAATTGGATATGCAGAAGTATTTCTGGGGGAAACGTTGCCGCCTTATTCTGTACCACCTAGTTTCTTGTTTCCCAACCATTTGTTTATTAGTCTATTTCATATGCTTACATTTTTTATCAGATCTTTTTTTCAAAGAAAGTGCATCAGGTTGTAGTGTGACCCGAAAGATTTTTAGAAGAATTTTAAGAAGTTACCCTTAGCCATCTTAAGGATGTGATCCTGAGATCTGTGAAGTACTGAGAATTGAGAAGAGTTTCTTGGTTCAGCATCTCAGAATTGAACTGTGTTGGGATAGCTGCTGAAACTTTCTCAGGGCAATGCTGTATGAAGGACCATAAGACATGGCTTCCTTCCCAGACTCCCAAATAGTTCTTTTGAGTTCAGTGACATTTTCATCATAATCTGTGATGGGAGCATTGTCTGTGATAACTTTTTAAAGTGCAAATAGACTCAGAATGTGAACTGTAAGAATAATCTTGCAGCGTTTATTCTACTCCATAGTCTAAAAGTACCTGAAATGCTTGATGTAAGTTGTTTCATTCAGTATATTTTTGGCAAGATTGTACTGTAATCTTATTCTGCCAAATGCGAAAACAAGGTTACTAGCATAGTAACTAAGTTTTAATCCAAAACTGTTATAGGTGATATAATACAGGCAGTGAATGCAACTTGCTTGATCTTACCTGTCTACATGACTCTGGTTCTTGCAGTTATGTTTCTGACTAGCGGGCAAACAAGATGCAACTGAGAGCAGGTATGGAACACTGAGAAGGTGTTTTTAGACACTCCATGTAGCTATTTTTAGAAAAGTCCCATTCACCAACCTTTTTTTTTAATGCAGTCAGAATGTTGATGTCTTATCTTTAAAGACAAAAAAAAAGTTGACTCAGTATGTGTCAGTAGCTTCTGCATGTCATAACCACGTAGGTGTACCCAAGGTTAAACTTGGTGAGGGAGTATGGTATCTCCTGTGACATTTGCTGTCACTCTTGCTCTCAAAGGGCAAGTAACACACAACTCCCAGCAAGCACAGCCCTCTAGGTGCACAGTAAAACAACAGAGGGGGATTATTTTACAGGCATTATAGAAAGAGATTTTTAAATTCACTGCAGGTTTTTGCTGTGAGATCAGCAAGGTGTTAATGGGAGGATTAGAGGGCACCTGAATGTTTGGCAAGCAAAGAAATCTGTGAGGACAGCCAGGAGAGAAAGCCTTTGTGTATTCCCAGGAGATTTAATGAATGATGTAAAGGAGAATGAGACAGAACACACATTTGAGTGAGGGGTTACCGAAGCCATTCCCATTTGTCAGACAAACTGAAAAAGCATTCAGTATTCAATCAATATGTATGATTAATGTGACTAGCAGCACTCTAATGCATCTCTCTTATCCACTCCTGTTATCCTGTAATTTGGAGCATACTATTTTTATATACTGAGCACCGTAAAAGGTATAGGTGATAGGATGCTGCCAGTGATTAGAATTCTCTTGTTGCTACACATTTGTATTTTCTTCCAAGTACGAAAAGGGATAAAGAGCTCTTTTTAAGATAGGGAATTACTGACTTTTGTCTCTGAACTTTTCCTGGGACCTGTTTTTCCCTACAATCAATGAGAGAAGACTTGGAAGTTCACAAGGAACAATTTTGTCTTACAGTATATGGGCGGGAAAAAAAGATTCTCGGATCTAATGGTGTGATGAGTAACTTATAAATGCTTTTAAAACAATGCCATTTAATTGTAGCTAGGTTACGCCTCTTATGAGGTTGCTTTTTAAATTGATCCCTTTTATTGATGAACTTCTGTGATGTTCATCTGCCGTACAAGAATTATATGAACTATTTTATTAGAAATTAAAGAAAATTGCTAAGTTTCTGTAGTTTCAAAAATAATTTTGAGACTGACTTTCAGGGATACTAATGAACTAGGACTTGTGGATTTTCAATACCTCTGTGAATCTGATGCTTTACTTTTTTTTTCCTTTTTTTTTCTCCATTCTGCTTGGTCTATCTCAATATCAGATAATGTTAGAAGGCTGTTCAGAACTATTTATTGGGTCATTAAAGTGAAGTAGTATTGCTCTGTGACAAGTTTTACAAGAAATCATGAAATTCTCAAAACTGCATCATGGATAGTCAATTTTTTTTTACTATTAACTATATAAATATCGCTTTTGACATTTGATCTGAAGAGGCAGTTCTGAGTTATTCAAGCTGATGATGACATATGATTGGTTTTCACTTATTCATACTTCTTTGATTTGTCAGGAGGTAAAAAATCCACCCAACTATATACAATTGTTAGTTTGGTCAAAATTTTTGGTATAGCAATATAAAGAATAGTAATGCTGACATCCATTTATCATTCCTCCTTGGCCTTTCAACAATTTCATGTTAATCTGAATTGAGAGCTTACTGTTAAATGAAGTGGGATTTGAAAAAAGGCTTTTGCTGTATTTGTGGTATTGTGGGTTTGTTTTATATTAGGGATTTTATCTTTATAAGTGAAATTACACATTAGGTTGCTTGGGTTTACTGAAAAGAAGTCTTTCTTTTACTCGTAGGGTTTTTTTTTCCCCTCTTATCCTTTTAGGTTGTTACTAAGGTTTAATATCTTGATATATCACATCCCCAGGTTTTTCAAACAAATGCTAAAGAGGAAATGAAAACTGATGTTCTTGACATTTGAGTGCCAAAGAAGCTGCTACAAATTAGTCTTTAATGCATATCATATAAGCATATCTATATTTTTGTCTTGCCAGTTGGTTTTCATTTTGATATATGAATGCATGGCAAGAGAAAATTGCTACAACTGTAGACCTGGTTAATAATTGTGATGTGTTTTTACTTCTGTTGTGTTAATTTCATTAGGTGCTATCTATGTTTGCAAGTTGAGATAAGGAGGAGAGCCATTTATAAAATGTTCTTTATAAATAATTCTAATCTATAAATTTGTGCAGATACAGCTAAACTCCTAAGGGATAAAAAACACCAAAAACAAACCACCAAAAAAAACCCCCATAACCTTTACCAAGCTCCCTACCTTAGCAGAAACCCTCCTGTGGTACAGTTATTAAAACCAAGAAGTCTTATGCTGGTATAGATCTTTCAATTTTTGTGACCATTTTAACCTATACTGGAAAGAGAACTTCCTGGTGGAGTTTGCTGGTGTAACTTTATGGAAAAATAATTTGTGTGGAAAACCATAAATTCTGGACCATGTGTCAGTTAACCAGAGAAAGCTCCATGTGACTTTCTTTGAATTCCCCGAGTTTACTTCAGCTGGGGAATGTGCTTCCCTGGACACCAACCTGTCGAAGTGCCCGTAATTAACACCACAGAGGTTGACTAGCAGCTTGCCTATGAAGAGTAGGTGCATATGAAGAGAACCTCAAGATTGTTTTCTAGGGCAATGATTAATTAATTGCTGTCAGTGTAAGTAGGAACCACAATGTTCAATATCATGCCAGTAGACACAAAACCCAACTTTGACTTGAATTGTACAATTACATTAGTTAAGACAGGACCTTACAATCATGACTGTTAATTTTTCTAGCGAAATGCATTTTTGAAGACTTTGTCCACAACAGTATTTTCCTTGAAAGTCTTCTAGCCCCACTTCCTCTAATTGAATGGCAGCAGTAGTTAAATACTATGTTTTCCTTGTTCCCTGGTAGGTCTTCCAGCATGCTGGTAGAAATACTAAAAAAAATGGGAGAATTTAAAGATGGAGATGAAGTTGAGAAGTTAATCTGTTTGACAAAATACTTGCCATTCTGATATAACCACACTGGTTCAGAAGCAAGGTTGGGACTTGTAGTTTTCATGGATAAATTCAGAATGATGCTTTGCTAAGTTTAACTTCAGAGGTTGTGTTAGTACCGCAGAGAAACACTAATGAGGGTGGAAAAAACATCCTTAAAGTGCAATAGAGAGCAAATCTGGAACTGAGAATAATTCTCGGTGGGCGTGTGAAGGGGGTGCTTTGTTCAGTTGAGTTTGGGCATTCAGCTGCTGCTGGCATCAACTCAATTTCTATTTGTTTCATACTTTCTCTGCTATCTTGGTTATTTCAGCTGTTGACATGTCCTCCTTCAAGCTATCCTTTCTCTTTTGTATACACTTTGAGACTGTGCAGAAGTCTAATTTAAATGATTGAAACCTCTTTTACTTTAATAAAAGGTGTCTTTGGGTGAGACTTGGTGATAATGGAGAACAGGCTCACACAATGATTATCCTAATGAAAATGCTGATTTCAAGTGAGTGTACTGACTCTTTCTTTCTTTTCATGGTCACAGCCATGCAAATAAAAGGGAATCACAGACAATGGTTTTGTTAATATGTGTGTTAAGTTGTCAGAATTCCTCTTGTCGCTGTTCTAAACAGTCCTGCCGGGGGCTTTGGAAAAGGAGAGACAGTCTGAACTGATGGATCTCAGAAGTGCTTTGTGGCACCTGTAAGGGCCTGCTTAGGAAAACAAAAATGTTTGGTTTAGTGCTAA